TTCCTATATCAACGGTTTTGGGCTAAGAATGTAAGATAAAAATCTGCTGTTGTCAAATGAAACCGTTACTGTCAGTTTCTTACTGATGATGATTTCTTGCTGACTGACATAAGGAAAGGTACAGTCCAGATACTTGCGGTCAGTACAGATACTTGCGGTCATTCAAGACCTTAAGAGAAAATAGCTTAAGATGCTAATAATCTGAATTAAGCTGCAAAGTCAAGATTATAGCAACCTTAGAGAGCTTGATGTTATATTTTTACATACATCTTTTACCTACATTTTTTTAATCTTGACCAACACACTGACCCTAATTCTAAACATATCCCAACACACTTGAAAATACTCTCATACTCAAATGAGCCACTTGTATTCGGAGGAGCTTGCCACTAATTGATGCTTTTCAAACGTCAGTCCAAAAGAGTCAAACACTTCAAATTCGTCAGGCATCAATAATTCGTTGACGCAGCATAGCTATTTATAATATAACATTTATAGTACGCGCGTGCTGATTGGTCGAGAAGCGTGTTTCTATAACTGTATAGAAACACGGGAATTTTCCCGCCGAACTTGACAAGCGGAGCGATGTAATGAGAATTTGTAATTGAATCGAACTATAATATTTGTACAAAATCTTTTTATTGAGTTATATTATAAAAGAAATAGAAAAAAATTTTCCTGTGTTTTCATACAGTTATAGAAACACTTGTGGGAGTTTGGGAGAACTCGAAATAACGTGGAAAAACTCGCTCTACGGGCTCGTTTTTCCACTGATTATTTATCGTTCTCCCAAACTCCCACCCGTGTTTCTATAACTGTATAGAAACACGGAAAATGTTTTCTATTTCTTTAACGTTTGGCATTTCATATTTCATGCATGCATATTTCGTCACTATTTCATATTTGCGCATTTCAGCTTTGCTCCCAATCCAAATGCTACTGAATAAAGTTCAAATTTTACTTCTGATTAGAACGTACTCTGCAAGGCTTAAGTATATACAAGAGGTTATTTATTTAGACGGTTCGTTTATGCCTTAATTGTGCAAGCTTCAATTGCAAGTCTTCTGTGTAAGACCGCAAGACATATTTTGTTGCGGATTTACAAATATTATTGCTGAACAAATATAAAGTCTGTAAGTTATGAAGAATTACGATTAGGACTTTGCTAAGTCTATATGGAACGCAGATCAATATACGCAGTGGCGCTTTTGATATATAATTTATGTAAATCTATTGAAAAGTTAAAAAGCGTCATATAAAGCTATACACGCAAGCTACACTTCAAGCTACAGTGTATGAGTGCATAGAAGAAGTTACCGATCATGCATACGCACACCTCTTAAAGGCTTTACGTCACAGAGTTATTGTTCATTGTACACGGAAGGTTCTTCTACTCCACGTACATGTTACAATCTATTGCAACTCAGCGATTTGATGCTGCATGACGCCTGTGATCATGACGTATGAATTTCCGTGGTTTATATTTGTGTCCGGAATACATTGACCGATTACAACACCGATGACGTTTATTAAAAGCTCTGATGCCAAATTTTCTTCCAGAGATTTCAGGTGAAAATATGGTTTGTTAATGTAAATCTTATACCCTACAGCGAAGCCCCTGTATGCAGTGTCTGCAAAATTTGGCATCATACAAGCTACGATCAACAGTGGTATGCTCGTATCATTTAAAGCCGTACTTTATTTAGGATATGTATCGCCATCTGATGATTCACAAAATCATGAAATCCAAATTTTTACGCGAGAAACCACGTATACTGGTATTTGTAAAACTACATATATATATAGGCTGGAAATTTTAAATGTGGGGCATATTTATGAATTGTGAGCAAAAACTAAAGGTATCTCCGTTTTGAAGTTACATTATTATAAGACTATCTATTTACTAAACTCCATGGCTTTCTTTCAACGGTTTTGGATAAAAATCCACTGTTGTGAAATAAAACCGTTACTGTCAGTTTCAAAATTTTACTTATGATGATGATTTCTTGCTGACTAACATAAGGAGAGGTACAGACAAGACCATGAAAGATACTTTCGCGGTCTTTCAAGACAAGACAATCTTATTATTCACGTGTGCATGACTATATTCATAGGGAGAAAATAAACTGAAGATGCAAATAGTTTGAATTAAGGTGCAAAGTCAAGATTATAACAATCTTACTGAGCTTAATGCTATATTTGTTACATAGCTACATTTTTTTAATCTTGACCAACACACTGACCCTAATTTTAAACATATCCCAAATACTCCTTGAAAATACTCTCATACTGAAATGAGCCACTTGTATTGGGAGGAACTTGCCACTCATTGTTGCACTTCAGACTTCAGTCCAAAAGAGTCAAGCACTTGAAATTCGTCAGGCATCAGTAAATCGTTAACGCAACATAGCTATACGTTTTCGATTTCATATTTCATACATATATTTCGTCGCTATTTCATATTTGCGCAATTCTGCTTTGCTCTAAACTTAAATACTACTGAATCAGTACAACAAGTTCAAATTTTCTTCTGATTAGGGCGTACACTGCAAGTTTTAAGCATAAATATGAGGTTATTAATTTAGACGAATCGTCCATGCTTTTGGCAAGTTTTAGGTCTTCTTCAAAAGACTGCAAGATATATTTTGTTGCAAATTTATAAATCTTTTTCCTCAAGAAATATCTAAGTTGTAAAGTTTTTGCATCCAAAGTTTTGTAAAGTCTATATGAACGCAAACCAATTTCCGCGATGGCGCTTTTGAGTTTTGATATACGTTTTAATTGAAAAGTTAAAAAGCGTCATATATACAGTAAAGCTACACACAAGCTACACTTCAAGCTACACTGAAATCATATTTTGTCACAGACGAGTTAAAATTATCTATAAATAGATCGTGTATGTGCATAGAAGAAGTTACCGATCATACTTACGCCCACCTCTTAAAGGCTTAACGTCACAGAGTTCCCTATCGTTATACATGGAAGGTTTTCTTATTCCACATGCATGTGCTACAATCTATTGCAATTCAATCTATTGATGTTGGATGGTGCATGTGCCCGGAATGCATTGACCGATTAAAACACTGCATGGCGACGTTTATAACGAATTTTTTAAAAGGTCTAATGCCAAATTTTCTTTCACAGATTTCAGCCAAAAAATGGTTTGTTAATGCAAGTCTATATTCTATACCATAGCATGCAGTGTCTGAAAACATGGCATCATAAAAGCTAAAAAAATTATGTTAATATTTCGCTAGCGAGCTATTTCTCTGCAAGCGAATATCCAGTCTTAAAGGTGTGGACACAGACTGGACGCGATGCGGCAACGCGACGCGAATTTTGAGTTTTCAGAAGCATATAAGTTAAATTCTTGAAGCAAAATTTGGAAACGATGGACGCTAGAGCAGTCAAAATGTTTTATTGTTATGTAATCTACAAGAATATTATGATAGTTTAAAATTTATTTGATTTTAAAAAAATTACAAACGTTGAAAATTCGCGCTGCGTTGCCAATTCGCATCCTGTCAGTGTGGGCCTTTAAAGGTCGAGATTGTAAATATATTCATGTTGTATCACTGAAAGACCCTTTTGAGGTGATATGTAATAAAGTTTATATAGTTTTATAGTTTATCAGCCATGTTTACTTTATACGCCCAAACACCAATTAAATATTTGCTTGGATTTTGTATTTGTAAAATTTGGAACGGGTATATTTATTTTTGCTTTGCCGTGCATGCTAATAAATTGTGTTTAGAGTATACAGTGTGTATAAAAAAATTTCGAATCCAACTTTGACAGGCTGCTGTGTATAAAATACTAAAGTAAGCGATATAATTTTTATATGGCAACAAAGATTAGCTTATTTAGTATGCGATTATACCGTTCTTATATCGACCCAGTTATCGTCTTTTTAAAATTGTTGTTCGAAATCAAATTTTTCCGCCGATGGGAATTCGAAATTAGACCTCCAGACAAAAGAAAATGCAAATTTAATTAAATCGACAAACTGTTATGTAGCAAAATTTAGTTAATTGTTGTTTCGTGCTTCATGGAGGCATTGTGTTCTTCAAACTTCTATCGTTGAACATTGAATAAGCAGAATTTTTGCGATAAACTTGCGCTTTAGTTTTCAGTAATAATTAGATTTTAAAGCCCTTTGGGACTAATTTTCAATAAAACAAACTTCCAGTTCCCATCGGCGGAAAATGGTGATTTTTATGAACTTTTTTTTCGAACAGGTACTTCTTCATTTTTCAACTAAATTACACGTACAACGTGTCATTTGAAAGAGAAATAAATGAACTTAACAATGGTGTAAAAATCAACCAAATTTGTCAAATGCATTTTGCATTATTACACACAAAATTTCGATTCGAATTTTTTTGATACACCCTGTAGAGTGCTATAAACCGCGGTTAACCTAGGTCAAACGTCGGTCTCATAAAGGTTGAGGTCAGACCGAGGTCGAACCGCGGTGAGACGGAGGTTAAACCTCGGCATAACTCCATCTGACAGACATTTATTTCTTAAGATTTTTTCGATTTGGTTATTGTGTTGTTCTTCTCAGCTGTTCATAACATTTCGTTCGGAAGCGAACGGCAACTGCGAAGGTATTTTTCCCTAGCGGTCGTCTGCGGTTTCTATCGGTCCACTGCAACCGAACCGCAGCGTTAGGTTATTTCTGGACATTAATTTCTGCGTTATTGAATAACACGTTATCACATATTCACACGCACTCTAAATTTAGCTTCCTACGAAGGCCTTAATTTCCGTCGTATAACATCAGAAATCGTTCTTTTGCTTGTGAGATAAATGCTGTTTCCCGTCGATCGCTAGTCTCACAGGCATCTGCATGCTATGGTGACGTCAACGGCGTTAGAGGTATTTTTTCCCTAAACAGCTAGAACATCAAAGCGATACTACATAAAGAAGCTTGTTTTAGCTTTCATTCACACTGACGCACCGAGCGCCAAACTTGTTCATCTTTCTGTCCATTTGGGATCAGAGAAGACAACATTATACAGGTAGAAAAAGATTGAAAGTTCTCGCTCAATTAAATGTAGCTATGTATATCAATTAAGGGTGTATTCACTAAAGGGATCCACAGTTATAAATATATGTGTTGTTTTTGGTGTTTTTTTTTCATTTCGTCTCATGTTTTATTCGTTGTCGTAAAATCTCTACGACTGACAGTTTGCAGGTAAAATTAATTGCTGTGCTGCTGCTGTTGAATTAAAGTAAAACAAACCATGAAAGCAGGTATTTATTCGGATTTTATCGGCACATGATTTTTCGTCACATCGCAGTAACGTTGAACTTTAGGTTTAGCCTGTTTAGACTTGCAAGCTGCGCCGTAATCTTCATGATCGGGTTTTGTGTTCTGATTACAATCTATATAAGACGTTTGACGTCAAAAAATTTTTGCTTTGTTAATAATAATTATTAATTTTATTTTCTCAGGTCTCGTTTTTGTTCTGGCGCTAACCACAGTTTGTTTGCTGTCAAATTCGCTTGTTGCGTTACAACCAGGTACGTAAGTCTTTGGGGATAAATAACCTCAGGCGGGATCAAATTCTCAATATTAAGATTAATGCCAACAAATTGTTTTTAAAGAGCTATAAAACATCAAGAATGTAGTTTTTAGAATACAAACAGACAGGCACATTTCGTTTTAGCTCTATATATCTTTAATGGAATATGTAACATACAGTATTCAGTGGCGTAGCAAGAACGATAATTGGGGGGGGGCAATATTCATATATTCGTGATACGCAGGTTTAATTTTTTTTTAAATCAATTGTCTTTACAGTCTGGTAACATGAATATATGAATATGCCCCCCCCCCCAATTATCGATGCTGTATTACTATAGTAATGTTGCTAATAAGATGTACATGCATAGACGGAACAATTAAGATGTAGCAATACTCAAACATTTATCTGAAGAACACGTGAATTATTACTGAGAAAGACAACAACCCCTCGCAAATTTCAAACGAGGCAAATATTTCCAAAGCTACCACAGTAACTACACCTAGTCACAGGGCTAAGGCTTGTAAGCTTAAAATTGTGTAATTAGTTGACAAAATAAAAACAATCGCCATGTTGTATTTCTCGACTTGAGAGACAAGTGAACCATAAGTAGTGAACTGAAAATTGAGCCAGGGGTGGATCCAGCACTAGTGCACAAATTTGCATTACAAAACAAAGTGGTTATTTTTAGCAGTTTTCTTGTGTCATGCAAATTAGTGCACTAGTGCTGGATCCACCCCTGAATTGAGCCGTTACCGCCCTGCACTTCTAGCTTTGTTATTTATGCTATTTTTCTTCTTTCTAGATTTTTGCTATCTTGAACCAGACCTTGGTCCCTGCAAAGGTTACTTCCCGCGATACTACTACGATCCCAGTTCAAACAATTGCAAGATATTTATGTATGGCGGTTGTCCCGGAAACGCCAACACCTTTAAAACTTTTGCTGCATGTATAATTACATGTGGCCAGTAAAAGGTTTGTCCATATAAGTAGAAAATATTATTAGGAAAAAGAGATTGGCCAAACTCAACAGTTGAAGATCATTTAAATAGCATTGCCCGTTATTTCTTATTGTTTTTATTAAAATACTAGAAATACATGCACGCAAAGTCCCCTCGCCTGAAGCAATAAATATATATTTCCCTCACTGAAATTCTATAATACTCGTTTCTGCTGAATGATCGAAGTCGTAAAGTAAAATCCTATATCTTGATAGAATTATAATGTCGACTCTCGAGCTATCAAATTCAGCTATAATCATAATTGTGCTACGAATAGTTTTAAATACAACAATTTTTAGCGAAATTTCAATTACTTTTTAAACAGATTCACCTTTAAAAATAAATACTTTCCAAATCAAAATCATTTCAACGAAATTGACGAATAAATTCAAAGAGGTGTCATACATTTGTTGATAAATCCACGTATTATTTAAACTTACAGAATACCTTGCATGCTTTAAAATACATAATCTACCTATTTACCTGTTCAAAAACATTTTAAAAATGCTTCAAAATCGTAGATCTTTTATCATCCATATGAATGAAAGTTTTTCTATTCGAAGGCATCTTTTACATTATTTTTTAATGAATTTTACGAGTCAATTTTTCGTATAATTTTAAGACCGTCCAAATGAAAAATATTATTTAAAAAAAGTTTTGTAATTCAAAATATCGGTTATGCTGACGTGAACCCAAATTTTAATTTAGCCAATCGCACGTTTGTAAACGTTTGCTAGTTACCAGTTTTAACTCGTCTTAAACTCCACATGCGCGTAACTTACAAAAACGCCCAACGTCCATGACGTAATGGCGGACAACTTTCTTTTCGCATTTGCATTCCCGGGCGTAATTAAAATCTCCAGGCGGAATTAGTACCCTCGCCCGGTGCTTCGCACCGGCTCGGCGATAATACTATTGTGTGACTTAAATTAATACGCGTGCATTCTTTTCATATTGTTACAGGATGAGAACGAAAGAAAGCAAGAATGAAGAAATTTTGAACCGGGGAATAACAGGGGGAATTGTAGTTTGCTTTATTGGTATACTCTAGTTTGCTATCGGTGTATTAGTACTACTCTTCTTTCTTATTATAATAGCTATAATAATAAATGCTCTCACATCACCATTCGACGTACTCTTTCTTACACCCATATGCTCGTTGCTGAGCCATGGTGAGCGCGGTATTAACGCAGTATCGATATGATACTGCTCGTTGGAACATCTACAGTGTTGAAATTGGTAGGATACCGTATTCTGGATGAAATACATACAGAGAAAACAAAGAAGTCGAGTAACTAATGTTAAAATACATTAAACGGGGTTTTTTTGCTCTTCCTCGAATACTTTGAATGATTTATAGAAATAATTTTTCGAATCTTTGTATTGTATGTTTCGCTATTTTACAAGCTCACAATACTTTTTCGGTATAATATATAATTTATAGTAATAATTTTTAATTGATAATATATATTTCGCTCGGGGGATTTGGCAAAATATTTCCCTCAGTAATGATATTTTATCATCAATCCCCCTCACTCCAGGTCAATGATAAGTATCTCGGGTTATCTTCCGATAATAGTATCTTGGAATGTCATACAGTATTTCAGGATATCCTACTATAGCACCTTAATTTGGATGGTATATTGTGTTGTAGGGTTATACGCCAAGAATTTCAAAACACTTCTACACTATTTTGCTAATGTCAGTGCTACAGTGCTTCGTGCGGTAGAGGCGTGTGGAAATTGCTCTGTGATATTGTTATACAGGGTGTCCCAAAAAAAACGCAACCACTTAAATATGCAAGAATATTAATATATTGTTCGGGTTTGCACCATAGTTCAGCTAAAATGACTTTTAGCATTGTAAATGAAGGATTAAGAGCCATTTTCAATTCCCAGAGGTGCTTATCTATTGTGCTTTAGAGCTGTATTAATGTTCTGCATATTTAAGTGGTTGCTCTTTTTTTGGGACACCCTGTATATTAAAGATCCCAGTTCGATTATTGTGTGTGTCCAACACAAGGCAACACGTTATTTTGTTGATTATGTCTCTGCCATACCACATTTGCCTCGCTTGCCGCTTGGACCGGAGAATACGAGTTAGTAAAGAAATTTGTTTGTGACGATTTAAAATTAACCGGAGTATGGGATCAGCAAGGCGGTGACAAGAAAGTGTTTAAGACCTACGACACCTCAATCACTTGGCGGAAAACTAAACGTTTACAGTACCTAGACGGACCTGAAGCAGGAAAGATCACTCAGCTTATGTACTCCAAAATCATGCAGAGTTTAACTACTGTAAGCGGAATTAACAACATAAATAGCTCGGACTGTTCATGCCAGACAGAACCAGATATTATGCAATCCTACTTATGTAAATGTTGTTGCGATATAAAGAACTTAAATTAAGTCAAAGCGCCAGTAACGAGGTTATCCAAGCGCTATCGGGAACTGTTGATCTCATTGCTGAAACTTGTTCACATTTTCATGATAGTACCTATTTTAAAACAAATAAAAAAATCTAACCCCAAGTCGTAAAAAAGCGCAGTTTACATAAAGGCCGGCGCACACTAGAGCTATGTGCTTAGCAAAAAGTCATTCGTGGCCATTAGCGTAAGCCAGTTGCTCTCATGCGCGGACGACTTTTCCAGTGACTTTCGTCATTCGTGCCAAAAGTCGCCGGAAAAGTCGCCCGCACACGAGAGCAACTGGCTTACGCCGATGGCCACGAATGACTTTTTGCTAAGCACATGCCACATAGCTCTAGTGTGCGCCGGCCTAAAATCATCTCAAGATTCCGACATGCATGAACCATTCAACGAGCACTCCCCAATTGAAACAATTGAAATCATCGAAGCAACGAATTTTAATGACCTTAAAGTTAATAAAATTTCTGAAGCAAGTATTCCTACGGATTCTACAGGGTGTATCAAAAAAAAGGAGACCTTTAGAAATCAAGCTATTGTTAAAATTTGAATGCCTTTTCAATTGCATTTGCTCATATGCTGAACCGTAGTGCGTGAAATATTGATGGATACATGCATACATACATTAGAAAATGAATTGACGTTTGTACACAAGATTATCTGCTCCTAGGAATTTGAAAATAACTTTAATAGCATAAGGAAAAATAACGACCCAAAAATATTCAAATGACTAAGCACACTACCAGAACAAAAATGCCGGGGTTCAACTGACTTCGGAGCAAAGAGTTTTTGTAGTCTTAACTTATACCCAGCCAGCCGGCATCAGAAAAGCAGCTCGCGATATGCACAAGCGTACGGTAGTTTGTGTTGAGAGAAATTGAGGCCACGTTGAAGGACATGGTCCATGACATTCAGTTCTTTTGATGTTCAATTTTATCAGTAATTTTCAATCCGGATCGAAATGTCAAGTGAATCTGTGTCAGATCAAGTTGTAATTCATTCCTGACTCATGTAAACATTTTAACAGGCAGAGTTTGTAAAATGAGATGCTGAGCCATTCCGGATTCAAAGTCAATTCTAACTCGTGTGAACAGCCCTAATGCTCGCAGGCAGTGTTAAAAATTATTGAACAAATGATTTGTTCGTGTTTTGAAGGAACAGCTAAAGCAATTTACCACGCATACTGTTATCGCTTTTGTGCTTAGTCGTTTGTGCTTAGTCATTTGAATATTTTTGGGTCGTTATTTTTCCTTATGCTATTAAAGTTATTTTCAAATTCCCAGGAGCAGACAATCTTGTGTACAAACGTCAATTCATTTTCTAAAGGTCTCCTTTTTCTAATGTATGCATGCATGCCATCAATATTTCACGCACTACGGTTCAGCATATGTGCAAATGCAATTGAAAAAGCATTCAAATTTTAACAATAGCTTGATTTCTAAAGGTCTCCTTTTTTTTGATACACCCTGTACAGTACAGGGTGAGTCAAAAAACCTGACACCTTTGAAATTCAAATTAGCTGCAA